GGGGGACACTTGACGGGATGAGCACTGGGTGTTATTCTGTATGTTGGTAAATTGAACACCAATAAAAATTAATTTATAAAAAAAAAATATTCTTCCTTCATCACCATAGTTGAAGTATTATTGACTGAAAAGACAAAACCACCATTATTTTTAGTAACTTTTATATGTTACAAATATGCAAGATTACTTATTCTTTCAATATTAAATGTTTGATGTCTATATGGATTTTTCACACCCCTTGCAGAGATCCACTATCCTGTTTCTCCAATCATGAATCCCCTCTTCACCAGGAGATTCCCACTTTATACAAAGTATCAGTTCACTAGACTGGCTTACCTTTGAAACCATTTCCAATCCTAAGAATGTACAATTCTGGGACAAGAACTTCTTGAAAGAATTTGGGGACTTCTATAAAAATGACAGTTTGGTCCAATATTTAGGTACTCTCCCTCCTGACACTCTACTTAGATAACAGTAAAGAGATTTAAAAGATATAGCCCTACAAGTAGAAGACAAGAGTGAACAGCAGATGGCAACACATTTTTGTATAAAGGAAAGCAGATGATGGACTGCAGATTGAACACACACATCTAATTTTCCTCTCTCCCCAAAACTCTACTAAAACAAGGATAAAGAAAATGATGTTGTGTTCTGTTTTTAGCTCATAAACCATAAGGACAGAAGAACAGAAGAGATGACAGCAATAAAATTTTGGAAGCTGGAAAGAAGATGGAGAAGTGGTAACCGACTTTGTTAAAGACAGCCAAATTACAAACTAGCAGTGCTGGCAACTCAGAACAAACCTAATTTATACTATACACTCCTCAAAAGGCTCCAGGACTGCCAAAACAAAGAGGGGTATGGGAGACTAAAGAAAAGGATCAGGTGAAAGCTATGAACATTTAGAAACCTAGACCCCATTCCTCCTCAAGCTGCTGGGTGGCCCATCCTCAGTGCAGCAGCTGATTGGAGATTTATTCTCTCAAGAGGGTAAACCACACATGGTGGAAGACACAGGTATCCCAACAAAAAAAAAAGCAAATTATGTGATCTTATATACTAAATGTTCTTTTTTTAAAAAAAAAAAAAGGTTTTATTTATTTATGAGAGAGAGAGAGAGGCAGAGACACAGGCAGAGGGAGAAGCAGGCTCCATGCAGGGAGCCTGACATGGGACTCAATCCCAGGTCTCCAGGATCACGCCCTGGGCTGAAGGCGGCGCTAAACCGCTGAGCCACCCAGGCCGCCCCTATACTAAATGTTCTATGGCTCATTACCTAGTCCCTTTTCTAGAGTTCTCAGATCACTGGCAACCAAACTGCTACCCTCCAAGAACAAAACTGAAAGATACTCTCTGGGAAATCTGGCCAGACCAAAAGGAAAGACGCTAGAGTAACTCCAACAGTCCACCTGAACCAATGGTTTCAATCTTGGCCACAAAGGGGAATCACCTGGACAACTTTAAAGAATATGATGTTAATCTATGGGGATAGAAATCAGAATATCGGTTGCCTCTGGGCAGGGAGTAAGGAAGACAAAGAGATATAAAGGAATTCTTTCTAAGGTTCTCTGTATCCTGTGTTGATGACATGGGTGTATACATGACAAAATCAAACTATACTTAAAATTTGTGTATCTTTCTGTATGCAATCATACCTAAATGTTTAAAAAATATTGCTACTTGGGTCCTAATCTGAGTGATTCAGCTGTATTTAGTTTAGCTATGTGTTTGTGTATTTTTAAAGTTCCCCATATGATCCCTGGGTGGCTCAGTGGTTTGGCGCCTGCCTTTTTGCTCCAGGGCGCCATCCTGGAGTCCCGGGATCGAGTCCCGCATCGGGCTCCTGGTGTGGAACCTGCTTCTCCGTCCTCCTGTGTCTCTGCCTCTCTCTATCATAAATAAATAAATAAATAGATAGATAGATAGATAGATAGATAGATAGATAGATAGATAAATAAATAAATATTTAAAAAAATAAAGTTCCACATATGATTCTAATGTGCAACTAAAACTGAGAACCACTGTTCTATGGAGTTCATAGAGTAAAACTGGAAGTAAGCCCCACCTACAAGCTCAGGGCTTCCAATCGGCTTTCAGTTGTCCACTCTCACTCATGAACAAAAACCAAGTATTATCAAAACTCTGAGGAGGATCTCTAGTGCTGAGGCTATGCCAAACAGAAAAAAAGTAACTTGGAGGAAACAAACTATGCAAGGAAAAAGAAAGCTTAAAGAAACTATCTTTAACATTCTCAGATAGATAAAAGATAAGGCATTCATGAAACAAGAAAGACATAGAAAAATACACAACTGAGTAGAAAAGAAGCCAAACCTACAGGCCTGCATAAGGGAATATGGTCAAAAGCTGATATGCTTCACTCATAGAACCCCAGGCAGGGTCAGGACTTGGAGTTTCCAGACAGTATGTGGTCAGTCACTGGGGGAGAGGTATGGGGCTGAAGAGCAGGTTAGCAATTTAAAGTCTGCATCAAGGGCAGCCCCAGTGGCTTGGCAGTTTAGCGCCACCTTCAGTCCACGGCGTGACCCCCAGTCCACGGCGTGACCCCAGAGACCAGAGATCGAGTCCCATGTCAGGCTCCCTGCATTGAGCCTGCTTCTCCTTCTGCCTGTGTCTCTGCCTCTCTTTCTGTGTCTCTCATGAATAAATAAATAAAATTTTTAAAAAATTTAGTCTGAAAAAAAAAAAATTTAGTCTGCATCAAATTTATAAAATATAGACCCTCTAGTTCCCTTCATTTATGTCAACTCATAAATTTATTCTCTAGAAACAGTGACTTGGAGAGACTCCAGACTCCCAAAGACTGGAGTGAGGCTAAGGTTGAAAGCCAAGGGATTAAGCAGAGGCTTGTATAGTGAATAGCAGCCCCTACCCACCCACAGCCTACTTCCTTTGCTCAGCTCTCAGAACAGTGCGAGCCAGTCATATTACCTCCCCCACTTTCTCCCCTGTCCAGTTTAAATGTCTTTTTTGCATGCTGCCAAACCAATTTTGATAATAGCACTTTTGGAGGATAAAGGTCTCTTCTTGAATTTCTACTTACCCCTCCTAGACTCTAAACCCCTTAAGGGCAGGGGCAGCATCTTAATCAGCTTTGTATCTACAAAGGCCTAACACAGTGATTTTCAATATACTCAATACTATATACTCCTTAATTGGTACTAGACTAGACACCACACACACACACACAAAAAAAAAAAAAAAAAACCCTTGGAAAACTAGAACATACAAAGTATATAATTTGGATTCGGTCCTGAGTGAAGATTAAAGTCTTAAATCAGCTGTACTTCTATATAGTAGCCACAAATGACATTTTAAAATATCATTTAAAGGGGATCCCTGGGTGGCTCAGTGGTTTGGCGTCTGCCTTTGGCCCAGGGCGCGATCCTGGAGTCCCAGGATCGAGTCCCGCGTCGGGCTCCTGGTGTGGAACCTGCTTCTCCATCCTCCTGTGTCTCTGCCTCTCTCTTTCTCTCTCTACATCTATCATGAATAAATAAATAAGTAAATCTTTAAAAATATATATATATCATTTAAAGTGACATCAAAAATTTCAAATAGCTAATAAAAGATATGCAAGACTTTTACACAGAAAACTACAAAACATTACTGAAATTTTAAAAAGACTTAAATAAATACAAGTATATGCCACGCTCATAAACTAGAAAACTCAATGTTAAGATACTCTCCAAATTGATATATATAGATTCAATTCCAATTTCCAAAATCTGTTGAAATTGACAAGCAGAATCTGAAATTTATACGGAAATGCTAAGAGGCAAGAACTGACCAATATTTTAAAAAAAACAAAGTTAGAGGCCTTATACTATCACATATCAAGGCTTATTATACAGTTACATTAATAGTGATACTGGTGCAAGGATAACAAATAGACCAGTAAAACAAAATACAGTATCCACAAACAGATCCACACTTAAACAATCACCTGATTTATGAGAAAGTGCCACACAGTGCAGAGGGACAAGTATGGTACTTTATTTTCAAAAATGGTGCTAGGTCAAAAAGATATTCACCTGGCTAAAAGTGAATCTTGATCCCCTACAATCCACCTGAAATTTACTCGAAATTGCACAAATTAAATGTGAAAAGTAAAACAAAACTTCTGTAAGGAATAAAACTTCTGTAAGGTAACATAGGAAAATATCTTCATATTCTTAGGCTAGGCACGATTTCTTAAATAGGGCACAGAAAGCAGTACTCAAAGAAAAACAGTAAATACATTTCATTGAAATTAACAATGCCCATCAAAAAAAAAAAGAAAACACTATTAAAAGATGGAAAGACAAAATGGAATAAGATAAACTATGTATAGGTTAGAGATATAGATGTGTGTGTGTGTGTGTGTGTGTGTGTGCGCGCGCCTCCCAGAAAGGGAGGGCTCTTATCGAAAAAATCCTAAAAAATAAGACTCAGACATCTCAGAAAAGACATACAAATGACCAATAAAAGATAAAACCACAACCATTAGGAAAACACAAAATAAAACCACACTACTATATTATTGCACCTCTACCAGAATAGCAAAAATGTTTTGAACTGACAAGCATCAGCAAGAATGTGGGGTAATTGGATTACCATTCCCTGCTAATTAGCACAACCACTTTGGGAAAATGTTCAACAGTACCTAATGCTAGAGGTTTATTATTCAAATACCTCACAAACCAACAATTCCACTCCCAGGTCTAAACCCCAACCTAGGGATCCCTGGATGGCCCAGCGGTTTGGCGCCTGCCTTTGGCCCAGGGCACGATCCTGGAGACCCGGGATCGAATCCCACGTCGGGCTCCCGGTGCATGGAGCCTGCTTCTCCCTCTGCCTGTGTCTCTGCCTCTCTCTCTCTCTCTGTGACTATCATAAATAAATAAAATAAAATAAATATAAAAAAAAAATAAACCCCAACCTAGAAATATTGTTTCCTGAACTGCGATGGCACACTTAGTAATAAAAAAAAAATCCTTTACCTGCACTCTGGATTGTGCACTTTTTCTGTTTATTATTCTTCAATAAGTTTTCTAAGTTTTCTTGACACAAAGTTCTCAGAGACCGTAAGGCTAGCGTTCTAGAACAAAAAAGGAGCTTCAGGTGAACTCAACAAAGTTTACGAATGAAATTAAAAACCAAAAAGAAAAAAAAAACTACTAACACATATCAGTCCAGAACAAAAGTAAAAACCACCAACAGATAGCTTTTCTTGATTTTCAAGGAGCACTGGGTTTCTCTCATTTCAGCGAAGAAAGGAGTTTATTATTCTACAGTGTAACCCAAAGAAATCTTTGCAAGAAAATGCTGCTTTTTCAAAGTCACCTCTAACGGCAAAGGATACAGGGAAAAGCAAAGGAACCACTCCAAAAGTTTTTGTTAACTCTTCGTTGAAAGGGTGACAACTGACTTAAGACGCCCCCCCCCTCAAAAAAAAAAAAGGCACAAAGAAATCACGGCAATTCTAAAGCAAGCACCAACACCACAATCCAATGTAGCGGAAACTCTGCGGTCAATCTGAGGCTTGCCCGGCTAGTCATGAGGTGATCCGGGCACGGGTGCGATCGCTGCCCGAGCGCATCCCTGGGGCTCACGCAGCACACCTGGCGAGCCCGTCACCCACCCGCCCGGAGAAACGCCTTGCGCAGAATCCCGGGGCCCACGTAAAGACGCCAACTTTGCAAGTCAGGGGCGCCGGCGGTCTCAGTCCGCGAAGACGCCCGGCGAGCATGGACTCCCGGCCTCGAGGGCGGGGCCGAAAGGTCAGCGTCTCCCGGGAGCCGCGGGCGAGCGCCCCCGAAGCCGCCCGGTCCCTCCGCCTCGCGGCGAGTCCAGTGCAGGCGCCGCCGGCGAGCTTCCTAGCCGGCGCCCGCGCGGGGAGGGTCCCGGGCCGCCGCGGCCTCGGCGAACTTAGGCCCCGGCGGCGCCGAGCGCGCCCGCCCCGCTCGTGCGGCAAGTTCGGCGGCGGCCCCCGCGCGCCGCGCCGCGGCCCCGCCGTCCGCCGTGCGCCCAGCGGAACCCGGGCTCGCGGCCCGCCCGGCCTGGCGCGGCGCCCCTCACCTTGGAAACGTTGGGTGGACTCCGCCGTAAACATTAACTTCCCATCCAGCCGGCAGCCTCGCCGCCGCGTCTCAGCGCCTCGGCCCCGCTCCGGCTCCCCGGGCCGCCTTCCTCGCCCCCCGGAGCGCCGCGCCCGCCCGGCAGCTCAGGGCCGCCTCCGAGCCTCGCGCAGCCTGCGGGCGCCGCCGCGGCGCTGCTCCCCGACCCCCGGCCCCCTGCCCTGCCCGCCCGCAGGCTCCTCCGGGGTCCGGCCCGCCGCGTCAGGAAAGCCCAGGGCGCAGGCGCGGCGGGGCCTTAAAGAGACCGGCCGCCTCTACCGCATAATGGGTTCGAGCAGGTTAGGGGCCGGGCGGCCGGAGAAGAAAAGGAGAAGCCGAAGGGATTGGGCCGTGGGGGAACGGGGGCGGGGAAATCCCGCTCCCTCCTCCGCCTCTCTTTGAAAGCGCTCAGCCCTCGGCCTTACAAGCTGCAGACTTCCCGGTCTCTTGAACCGCCCCCTTGCGCGTGTGAGCTGCCCCGGACACACACACCCCCCAGCGGGCCCCGCACGACCCCGAGCTCGCAGCCGCGGGCCTCCCGCTACCGCCTCGCCCACGCGCCTCCCAGGCCGCCGGTCCGCGGCGCCTAGCGCAGGCTTCCGAAAGGCCCCCCGAGCTCCCCGAGAGCGACCTCGGTCACTCTCCAAAACAATGATCACTGTGCAAATACCATTTGTGATGGCAAATGCTTCTACCTTCAGTCGTCGGGACACGCTGGGTTTATGCAGAGTCCGACAGGGGGCGGAACATGGGCACAAACACGTGAAGTCCAGCCGGGCGGCCATCCAGTAGCAACGAAGAAATAAATTCTTAGAAGTAGTGAGTTTGGGACCGAAACTATCTACCAATTCCAGTCCAACTCCAAGAAAGGCGAACAAGAAAAAATGAGAAGAGCAATATAAATTACTTTCATTACACATTTGTAAGTTACAAAATGACAACTGCCAGCACAAAAGGAGGACTCCAAAATTGTTTGCCTAAATATTAGATAGCCCCTGGTTATTTTCTGATATAAATTTACAGTCTCCAGAAGGGATTCCACTGTGGTAAGCATTTTAGAGAAAAGAACTCTCCTTTAAAAAAAAAAAAAAAAAAAAAACGGCTTAGGAAATACTAAAATATAGGAAGTAGAAACATGCCCTCCACCCAGCTAGCAACTTTGAACCCTTGAAATTTTAAGGGGCAAACTTTTTCATGACTTTTAGGTCATGCCATTATTTAAAGTCAATTTTGGTCAACAATTTTATGGAAACTGAATCCATTTTGTATAAGAAAGTTAAGAGATAGGGCAGGCCGGGTGGCTCAGCGGTTTAGCGTCTGCTTTCAGCCCAGGGCGTGATGTGATCCTGGAGACTTGGAATCAGGTCCCACGTAGGGCTCCTTGCATGGAGCCTGCTTCTCCCTCTGCCTGTGTCTCTGCTCTCTCTCTCTCTCTCTCTCTCTCGCTCTCTCTCTCGAATAAATAAATAAAATCTTAAAAAAAAAAAAAGAAAGTTAGATATTTTGAAAATCTACTTCTCCTTCCTGTATTATATCTATCAGCAAATCCTCTGAAATTTTCCTTGAATCTGTTCTCTCATACCTCCTTCATCACCACCCTAGTCTAAGCCACCTGGGTGAAGGGGGAGTGCCTAACCTACTCTTCTAAATGGCTTACCCACATTCGCCCTAGTTTCTCTCTCATCTCTTCTCCACACAAAAGACTACATGTGACCCTGTCGCTTCCCAGGTAAACCACTTACATAGCTTCCCATTCTCTTAGACAAAATCCCTTACTAACCAAGCCCTGCATATTCAGGTGCCTTGTCAATCAATCTCTTCTCTCCATCTTATCTTACTGTTCAAACTACTTCTGTCTCTTCCAACCTGCTCTCTGTCCCATTCACACTGGCCTCCTCCAATCCCTCAAATCTTCCTCTTTCCACAGAGCTTGTGCATATGCTTTGTTCAGTGCAAGTAGCATTTCCAACCTTCATCCTTCTGACTTCAGTCAGCTCTTGTCTCTACCTCTGAGAAGCACCTTCAGACCTCACCTTGGTCTCTTCTTATCACAGTGTGCTAAAATGGTAGTTGTATAATTTTGTTGAATTTTTATTCCCCACCACTGGACTATTACATTCATAAGTCCAGGAGCTTGGTTTTCTTTGGATCATGTTTATATTTCCATATTTGTTCAATATGTTTCTGTTTAATTGATGAATGAAAATCATAGAATGTTAGAATTTGAACAAGATGTGGCTTAAAGATTACCTAAGTCATAGAAAGGTAAAATGTCACAGTTTGACATTTGGAATCAGAAACTAAAAAAAACTCGTTATTTTTAAAACCGATTTTATATTGTTTTAGCTGGGCTATCACAATATTCTTTGGGTAACCTATAAAATGGAGTTCTCAAAGCTCCTGGTATAAACCCCTATATTAATGGTAGCTACAGGACAGGCCCACATGGAACTAATAACATTGGTTGCTTCAAGAGAGGAAAACTGGGTGCCTGGGAGACAGGACTGCCCTTTTGTACCTTTTCAGTTTCCACCCATGTGAATATATTACCTTTTAAAAAATAAATAAATCACACAATAGAGTGCTTACTGTATGGTTTTATTTATTTGAAGTTCCAGAAAAGGCAAAACCAAATCAGTGGTGAAGAAAGTATAACTGGTTGCCTCTGGTAGGGAATTTACTTTGAAGGTACATGAGAGAAATTTCTGGGTAATAAAAATGGTTTAAATCTTGATAGGGGTATGAGTTACAAAAGTGTGTTCATTATGTCAAAAACCGTACAGTTAACATTTCAATTAATGTGAATTTTACCTTGAAGAACTATATAAAAATAAACAAGATTTACTATTTTAAAAATAAACTAACACACGGTTGAGTACTTTCTGTGTATGAGTATTGGCAAGGGCTGTACAAATGTTATTTTAATCTTTGTAGTATGGTCATGAAGCAGATATTATTATAACTACCTTGCATATGAGAAAAATGAGACAGTAAATACCAAGTAACTTGCCCCTATATAGACTGGAAAATGGTGAGGCAAGGCTTTGAACCCAGTCAGTCTAATGCCAAAAGTAGTTTATATATATTGTCCACTAGATCAAGAGCTTTTAATGATTGAAATCATACTGTCTTACTTCTCAGTAGCCCCAGTACTTGCACAGTAGCTGTTCAATGTTTTTTGAATGAATGAAAAAGAACACGCTTAGTGTGATTTTATTGATACAAATTATATATTTTTTAAGGTTTTATTTTATTTACTTGAAAGAGAGGGAGGGAGAACACGAGTGGGGAGGAGGGGGCAAGAGGAGAAGTAGGTTCCCCTCTGAGCAAGGAGGCCCGCGCAGGGCTCCATCCTAGGACCCTGAGATGGTGACCCGAGCTGAAGGCAGACACTTAACTGACTGAGCCTTCCAGGTGTCCCCAAATTATATTTTTTTAATTGGCACTATATAAATATTAATATGTATGAATATAAAATACATATACGTATTCCAAATAATCTAAATAATCAGCATCGCTGTGTTAAATGCCTGAGATATTTTATCTTAAATGGCTGGAGGAGAGAAGCTCCATTAGCTCTGACGCTCTAGCAATCTCCCTGCTTTACCCCTTTCCTGCATTCACTCAGTTTATTTGATGAAAGAGCTTACACTTTAACTTTTCACTGAAATAGCTCAATCCAACCAGAGAAATAGCTAATTCTGATTTCTCACAAGTGCTTGAGCACTTGCGTAAGTGAAATTCTACCGTGTGAATTCCACACCAACACCACCTCTGCTCCAGCTCGCAACCTCTCTGCTGTTCGCACTCTGGGACTTCAAAATAGAGGAAGCATGGGTGCAGTGGGCAGTGGCACCCTCCTTGAAGACTGTTAAATTTGAAGTAAATTAAGTTAGAAATTCAAAAGTTTTCTATGTTCTAATGTCATACACCTTGGCATTGATTTGTGTCACCACACAGGAGAGGGTCTGAGCTCTATTCCCTCTAAACCCAGCAAGGGTTAAATCTCAAAACACCAAGCATTCAACTGCCAAAGGTGTTTTATAAGTCAGCCTCGTGAGTCATTGCTCACAGAAAGGAAAAGCAAAGGAGGCATTCTCCTGAGAGGCAAAAAACTACCCAGTATACGGAAGAGGAACTCACCAGTGGAGTGGAACCACACCCCACCCTCACCCTGGGCATCTGGCATTTGGGGCTTCCTTAGAGAACCAGGGCATCTCAGTTACATTCTAGGATTGCACTGTCCCATACAGCAGCCACTAGCCACATGTGCTTGTTTACATTGAAACTTAAATTAAAATTTGTTTCCCACTCACACTCACACATTTCAAGTGTTCAGTAATAGCTGTATGTGGCTATTGGCTACTATCTTGAACAGCACAGATATAGAACATTTCCATCTATCAGAAAGTTCTCCTGGCGGCACTCTTCTAGAAAAAGAAAAAAAACAACACTCCATTGAGACTTCAGCTAATGTTCAAAATCTCTTGCTTTGAAAAATGAAAGCTCATGATGAAATAGGGAAAGCCTATTTCACTTGGCTCATTGATTTCCACAACTTGAATCCAAATTCACTTGAGCACCAAAGTTGTGGCCTCTCAATGTATCAAAGTTTTAAGAATGGCTTTAACCTCACTTATTTCTACCACAGTCCATTGTTTGCAAGATACATTATCTTAGAAAAGAACATTGTTAAGAGGCACACAGTTCTCTTGTCATCTCTTGGCACTTTGTGCACAGGTAGAGACTAGATCTGCCACAACTGTGGTAAAGAACTAGCTCTCTGGCTCGAGAAATGGGACATTTGTATATGTGATATTAGACATTCACACTATCAATCCAACAACTTTTAAAATTGAGGCACCAAAATGGGACATCAATAGAGGGCCGGTTTCCATCCCAGCAAATCTTTTCTTTACTTTCTGAGATAACTGTTTTAAAGCAAGATAAAATTTGATGCAACTAAAATAGTAATTTCACTTAAACTATCCAATTATCTGAGAATTAGTAACCTCTACTAGACTGTGACCTAAAATTTCAAATGTAAAAAAAAAATAAATAAATAATAAATAAAATAAAGTAAAATTTCAAGTGCTTGCCAAAACTGTGCTTTAACCTCTTTGAGATCCAATCTTCTCA